GTGAAAGAAGACCTTGAACTGAGCAAGTCTTGGTTGGAGAGTTTTCTCAAGCTTGGCCATCACTTCAGGATGCTGCTTGTTTAGGTGCTGTTTGGCTCCTTTCTGACCAACAAGGACCTGACCGCAGAGTGCACAGTGCTCCATCAGGTAATCATGGAACACCGGATTTCGAGCTGCTCCTTCTGGATTTTCCTGAGCATCAGACTGTAGACTTTCTGTAAGTGAAATCCGGTTCTGGGCTTCTAGAGGGAGCTCTTCCTGCTGTCGAAGCAAGAGCTCTACCCGAGGGCATGTAGATGCTTCGACGTGTTTGCGCAGATAGAACACTGTTCGGAATGTTGCTCTACAGGCGATGCAAGTTGCTGACCCTGGCATTGAATGCAAAATAGGGTCAAATTTGGGTCCTTTCAAGCTTTGCTGGGGGTCTGGGTGGGCCTTCTGCAGGTGGCGACGGAGTGCCCCGGTACCAGAGAGACATGCTCCACACTCGCCGCAGGTCAGGATCTTATCCTCTACTGATTGCGAGGAGAAGTCAATGGCAAGGCCTTCCAGAGCCTGGCTGATTGCCTCAGCGCGCAGCTTGTAGTGTGGGAGGAGCTGAGGATCTGAGTGTTGCTGTCTCTTAATGAACTGTGTCAGCCTCTTTTGCAGCTGCTCCTTCACGTGAGGAATCCGTACTCTCCGGAGTAACTCCTGGTTGGATTCCTTCGTTTCCTGGGAGTAGCTCCGCAGGACAAACCGAAGTTGGTACATCATGTGTGAATGGAGCTTCTGCAATCCCTGCTGTCCTACCACGTGCAGGGCATACAGAGCAGAGGCCCACGCAGTTATTGTCCAAATTGACAGACGACGTCTGTCTGATAGGACTCGATGGTTCCTAACTGCATGGGCGACTTCTGAAATTGCTAGCTTACTGGATGACAGCCGATGTTTAAGGGTCTTCATTTCGTAGTCATGATAAGAAAGAATGACCCCCAGGTATGGGACCTGGTACCGCAGCGATATCAACTTGCCCGAAGGGAGTTCCACAAACTTCTCTCCATCTACCTGGCGGAATAGCTTTTTCCTAATTGTCGAGGCTGAACCTCCTTGTAGCTGCAGCAGTATTGCTGACTTGGACGGATTGACCTTGAACCCAAGTTCAACCAATTGATCAAGAAGAAGGTCGCAGTACCCTAGTGCTGTAATGAGGCCAGACTCAGACTCGAAATGCGACTGAATCAAGCTGTCATCCGCATACATGGTGAGAAGTTTAACTAGTTCGGGGGGGCTGATTTTTCCAGAGAGCTTCCTAAAGAGAAGCCCGGATGCAAAGGCGAATAGTGAAGGTGCAAGCTTGCATCCCTGCTTGATTCCCCTGCGTGTGGCTATCTCAAAGCTCTGATCGCTGGCTGTCATCTTGTACAAGGCTTTGATGTGGAGATGGCCCACCACCTCTATAAGAAGAGGGTCTGCTTGTTCAGCTTCCAGGGCTTCTCTTAATCGTAGCCTGTCCACATTGTCAAAAGCTTTGCTCATGTCAACGCTCATCGTGAGACTGCCCCTGAGCTTGAGCCCCTGTTGTCCCTTACCAGCCGCTCTAGTTGTAAGGGCCTGCCTGAACCTGGCCTGATCCACAGGTGTGAGGGCCTTGCAGATCGCCTCCTCTGTGCCCCTACCTGGTACGAAGCCAAACTGAGAGACTCCTTGCATTGCTTGATGGAGGGTGGACTTGAGTCTCTGCCTCACAAGTCCTGCCAGGACCTTGCCCCCAGGTGCTATCACCCCGATCGGACGGAGTGATGTTGGCTTATCTGGCTTCTTGGGGGGCTTTGGGAGCCAAGAGATCTGTGACGAGGTGACGCTGTCCGAAAGCCTTCCTGCAGTGACTTCCCTATTGAGAGTGTCCGAGATGAGCCGAGTAGCGTTGGGGCCTAGGGAGCGCCAAGCTACTATGGGAGGACTTTCTTTAGGAACTGCTTTGCCAAGCTTTATAGTGCCTAGCTGTTCTTGAACTTCTTGCTCGGTGATGTTCAGGCTGCCTTGTATCCCTGTGAGCGGGAAGTCGTCCCCTGCTCCAAACAGTTCAATGGAGTATTCCTCTAATTGTCTACGTTCTTCCTTGGCTGTTAGGAAGCGACCCTCTGAGTCACGTTGCTGAACTCTTTCCTGAGGCCTCCCCGACCGGAAGCGCTTGATCACCTTGTAGAGGGAA